CCTTCTCTGGGTCTTCATTGAACAAAGTGAGTTGCAGGTACTTATCACTCAACACGGAGGGCAAAAAAAAGTACCAGCCTTTGCCTAAGGGACTCCTTCTGCTGGTTCGGAAGGACTGTTGAGACTCCTATCAAGAAACTGCTTATCTTTTGGTGATAAGGAAGACCTGAAACATGAAAATCAGTGCTTACATTGACTGGGTGATTTTCTTGAGTTGGAAGTTCAAAAGAAAACAACAAAACCAGAGGAAATAAGCAGTACGTACATAATAGGAGAACAGTAGGGCTAAAAGACGGGGGGTTTATAAGAACTTGCTAGCAGACAGATGGCAGAGACCCTGTAGGGTGAAGGTTCATGGTCAGAGACAAGTGAGCTTGGACCTGTGGCCACAGGGGAAAAGAGAGCTTGACCTGCAGCTACTGATAGAGAGGAAAGAGAGCTTGCAAGTGTCTCTAATGGAACGCTATTACTGTTGTTGCAGCTTTTATTAGCTGGTTACCACCTCCTCTAGCTGCGCATGAAGCGGGTCTCTGTTCCCTTGGGAATACAGAAGGTATTCATTTTTTCCCAGAAGAAGGGAGAGTGCTGCTTGGAACGCCAGCTGTAACTGCTGTGGCGTATTTTGCATGGTTACTGTTTGGGACACGTGGAAGCGGTGGTGTGTTGCAATGGCTGGGCATCCCTGGAATTGTTCTGTAGGTAAAGGTCTATGGAGCAGTCTGTGCCAGGCTGGAGAGCTCGGTGCTGGGATTGTTGTCTGGACAATACTCTCACTGTATAGCTGTAGGGCTGACACACAGAATGTTACAGAACAGTGCTTGCTGTGTCTCTGTCTTGGCATGCCTTAGCAGGCTCTGTGTTGTAAGCACTTGCCCATGAAGTTGCCAGAAATAGATGCCTAATGGCAGAGAATGTGCTAAAATTGATCTCAGCCGTGTAAAGATGCAGGTTCGGAGTGAGATCTCGAGTTGTAGAGCAGAAGTTTGGGAAGTTATGTCTGAGCTGGCTGAGAAAAGGAGCTTAGAGAGAAAAGTAAGCCATTGGTGTGTTCCGTTTTATGAAGTGCTTGGGTCTAATGTTGTGGTCTAATAACTATAAATAGTTATTTGTTACTTGACTGAGTTAGCAAGGATCTGTCTGATAGCCTGATTAAATAACTTACTTCTAAAACAACTTCCTTACGTGGATGTTGAATTTCAGGTGTGGTAGTGCAAGAATACTAAAAAATCTACTTCCCTGGGAAAACCAATGGTGTCTTTGTATTTTGAGCAGTGCTCTGCATATACGCCAGAGTTCAGAAATGGGCTGGTGGTTGTTCTTGTAATGTGGCACACAGATGAACTGCACCAAATTAAGTCCTTCAAAAGACATCAGTCTTTAGCATGGCCTTATGCAGTATTAATTTTCAGAATGAGAATGAAGAATAACAATCTTTTCTTCATGGATCGTCATGTAGTAAGTACTAAGAATTGCTTCTAAAAATCAGTATTTAAGTCAAAGGACAACTATGCACAGCCTTGTTACAGGCATTTTCTGTGCATAAGTTTCCACTACTTGTTCTGAGATTAAATACTTAATTTTACAAAAGTACCTACACAAAGGTACAAAAGTAGTGTAGAAGGAAGGTGGTTTCCTTTTCGTATGCGCAGTGGAAGGCTGGTTAAATGTGAATGCACAAAATTTTGTAAGTGCGGGTTTTTGTTTTGGTTGTGGCTGATCCCATTTGAGAAGAACGTGGCACCGATGCCATGTTTAGCTGTGGGAGTATGCAAACTTGCACACTTGAAACATGCTTATAGGAGAATCCAGTTATATGCATATGGACTCTGTTGGACTTGTAGAAGGTGCTTTAAAACTCAGTTAAAAATGCAAATGGCTTTGCAGATTACTATCTGGCATTTTGAATGATATTCAAAACTTTGACGTAATCTTACTTCTCAGTTTTTCATGTGATGCTGTCCCTCGCTCATTTGCTTATTATCTCTAGTCTAGATTAATGCATTAGAAAGTGTTTATTTAGATCAAGGGTTTGAATCTGTTAAAAAAAAAATTCAGATTTTAGGAATCAGTTCTGCTTTCAGGTTTTGTGCAATACCTTCTATAATATAGGGAAACTAGATGTTAAAAACATGCCGGGTTTTATTACGATGAGATTCACTTAAGCATTATAAAATTATTCTTGAAGTTTGCTTGTGGGCTACTCCTGTTGGAAATTTTGGGTGGAATCTGGACATGCCCAAGCTGCTCGCTTGACTCCCGCCGCGCAACTACTCGTAGATTTGTCACACTGTGTGTGGTTTGTGCTGCTCTTCCTCCAGCTGCTTTGGGAAAAGGAAAGTGTGACTGTCTCTCCTTGGCCCTGTTTGCTGGGGTATCAGTGGACATGAATTTTCCCAGGCCGTAATCGTGATACCAATATTAAGATTTTAGGATGTCCTGCTGTAACATCTTTGTGTGGAGAAGTCAGGAAACATCGCTGGTCTGCTGTGAGTTTATAACTACGCTACTGTACTTTCCTTGTGCGGGATGGAAGGACTTCAGCTCTCGTTTCTCCCTTGCGCAGACTCAGCAGGTAGCTGTCCTACTCACCGCTGCAGCCTGTCGGTAGGGTTATGGTATATTACATCACTGTTTCCAATGGGTTTGCAGGTATTCCGTTTCTTTCATTGTGCCAAAGGGCCTTCAGTTTTTTAAACAAAACTTAATGGATTATGCACAGGGCTGGTCCATGATCCATGTATCATGCTTGTTTTATCTGTTTTATAAATCTCTCTAACATTTACAGCCTTGTTTAGACTAATGTTTAGTAATTATGATGAAATGGCATTTTAATTATTATAGCTGCCAAAGTTGCCACCAGTGATGAATTGTATGGAAAACATTGTTCATCTCAAAAGTATTTGCCAATTTATGAAGATACAATTTTATGAACATCAGTTAATAAAGTTTAGCACATAACCCTGGGCGTGTTTAATCCCAGCTGAGACTCCATTCAATCATTTTGCTTTTCTTATAAATTTGGAGTTCCTGAAGGTTCTTTTAATAGATGAATCCCACTATTTATTCTCAAATCCAAACAGGATACGAAGTTTCCCTTTCCCTTCACTCAAGGTTGGGTGAGGGAATGCTTCTCCTTGAAACCGAAGCTAGTAACAGCACGTAAAACTAACGTGCTCATCCTTAAGCTATTTCTTCTTGGTGTCTGCTTAGCTGTAATCATTGGCTAAAAATAATGTGCTATGAACTTTATAAAAATGCTGTTCAGGTTATATAAAATATATACTGATTGAAAGTGCATTTGCAATTCGGTATACTGATCTTCATGGGTGCTTTTAAGACCTCTGTTCCACCACCTGGAGACTAAAGGTCAAACATGACCGAAATAAAAAATAAATATATATAAAGCTTAAGTTTGTCTTTATGTGTTGACCAACTTTATGAGCAAATAAGACATCTGTTTTTCACTGTTAGTGTGGAGTAATCTTGAAGTTACTTATGGTAACTAACAAAATAGTTTCTCATTTCTTAAAAGCTTATTCCACAAGTATATAATTTCATCTAAAAGAGGCAGTCTGTTTTGCAGTGAAGTTTAATATTGAATTTCTATAGTAGAAGGTTCACATTTGTGTTTATATATTAAAAAAGTACTTTAAAGTGTGTGTCTAGTGGTTTGGTAATTTTCTCTAAATTGCTTTTAAATTGGGAATGGGGTGAGCGATTCCTTAACTGTCTTGTATCTTCAGCTTTTATTTGCTTAGTGATATTTAATTTGGAACTATCATGTAATTCAATTATCTTTGTTCCATATCCATAGTCTTGCTGAAATTAGGCTTTTTGGTTGGTTTTTTGTAGGATAAGACTAATGCAATTAACATTGGGCATTATTCTTTTCCATTACTTCAGCACGAGTTGTTGAAAAACGGTTGGGAGCTGCAGCGCGACTCCTGGACACCCTGGTACGGTGTTCCCCCGCCAGCGCGGTGGCCCTCTGCATGGCTTACTCCAGTGTGCCACTGCCTTTCTCTTTTGGGCCCCCAAAACTGTAGGCAGTACTCGAGATACGGTTTCACAAGCGTGAAAGGTTTCACTCAGAGTTTCACGAGGTTTCACTCAGAGTAGAGGGAGTGATCGTTTCTCCTGACGTGCGAGCTGTCGTCGTCGTCTTAAGGTCCCTCTTGAATGGTTTTCTGTCCGCCGGTATGTCAGCCCCGCTCTCCCCAGCTGGCTGGCGGCTGGGAAGGGGCTGAGGCTGCCTCTGTCTCCGGGTCCAGATCAAAAGACGTTTCAGCGTAAGCTGCAGAGCAGGGTTTGGCCTGTCAAGGATAGGAAAAAATATTGGTGAATATTAATATTTATATTTCTGTGCTTTTAACAAAACATGTGTTGTATCAGGAAATGAATGTA